AAAGTGAGGGCCTGTGTAGGGCCTGGGAGGAGTGGGTACCACTCCCAGCTAGGCACTGTTCTCCCTGCACACCTAGCCTCAGACCTTGTACACACGAGGCTCAGGGGAAAGAGGACTCAAGCTGCCAGGTTTCCAACCCAACTCTACCTACCCCCTTTTCTGTGAATTGTCCTGAACAAAGGTGTTCAGTTTTCTGAATCTGTTTCCGCATCTGTAAAGCAGAGTGATGCCACCATGCTTCTTATAAGCATTGTGTTTGTAGTGTACACAAAGTTTCTGGCATGCATGAGGTGCTTATTACATGAGTGATTGAAAGATGGGATGGATGATAATCACAGTCAAGTGATCCCAGGCTGTGACATGTGTGAGGGCTGAGTAACACCTGGCCTCTGTGCCCTTCTACCCCACCCCTTAAGCTGACCTGGTCCCTTGATTTGGAAGGGCCAGGTTTACCTTGTTTCACACACCAACTCCATTGCTGGGCCTGAGATGGGACTGACTTTCTGGGCAGTCTGGTTGGGCTTGCTGGCAGATAGGGCAGACACTCTGGGCTGTGTAGACAACTCCCGCTGGAGGTGAAGGAAGACACTGGGTAGCATGGGCAGCTCCAGCTGGAGAGAGAGGAAACACTGGCGGGAGTGTGGCTGCCTGCCCAGAGTAGGGACATTGGTGTTGACCTCACAGTTGTAAGCAGCCCTGGGGGGCGGGCCCAGGGCGGGCTGGGGAGGCGGGGCTGCAGGAGCCGAGGATCTCTCCTCTGAACTGCTAGGTGGGCGGGGTTACCCCAGTCTGGAGCTGCAGGGGGCGGTGGCCCTGGCCAGTTCGGTTGCAGGATGGACAGAGGCACGTTAGGAGGCAGCCCCCTGCAGAACCTTGGCCCAGGGAGCAGCAGGCAGGGTAGGCACGGGGCAGCGTGGGGAGGGTGGGGAACTAGGAAAAGACCTGGGCACTGAAGGGTGGTGCTAGAGGGGCGAGAGTGCTGGGGGGTATCTTCTGGCATAGGGGTTCTCTGAGGGGCACATCAGTTTGTCAGTGGTGCGGACGAGGGGGAACACCGTCGTCTTGTGGGGGAGAGGGGGCTGGGCCAAGGGGAACTATAAATAGTGTCTTCCTCCAGCCCAGGGGGAGGGACAGCCAGCTGGAGCTGCCCGAGGCCCTCCTGCTCTGCTCTTTGCTGGTCTTCAAGGGATCGTATCTGTCCGGGTCTCTCCTCAGGAGTCACACCAGTTTGGGGAGGATCCAGAGGCTCAATGGGGTTGTTTTTCATAGGATGTGGCTTTCGCCTTTAAACTACCAATTCTGGGATGCCTACTCTGTACCCTATGCCAGTCCTGAGCTTTTTTCTAAGCACCTACTGTGTACTCTGTTCTGGTCATGACCCTTTTAGCCCTGCGTGCCCTGGCTGTCCTGATTCACTAAGCACCTACTGTGTACCCTATGCCAGGCTGGAATTAGGAGGTGCAGATCAGGGCTCACTGGCTGTTTAGTCATGTGGTACACCCCCAAGCGGGAACCTCATGCTCCCTGTGAGCTCTGGGCCCAGGGAGATGCTAGGGACAATCCTCTATTGGAAATGGCCAGAGGAAGCTGGAATTCCTGGAAACTCCTAAACCTCAGTGACAGCAAGGGTGGGGGTGGGGGTGACAAAGGCAAAGGGGGTACAGTAGAGAGCAACAAGTCCCATTACATCCTTCCTATCTCTATGCACATGCCCAAGTGCAGGGCTTGCTGGCATGTGTGCTCCTGTGTGTGCCTCTGTGTGTGTGCATGTGCAGCTGTGCCACGTGTCTGTGTGCCACGAACTGATGCCCCTGGGCTTTATGCTGCAGAGGGTGGTCTGGCGGTTCTGCCAGGAGTGGCTAGCAGATAGGGGACTAGGTGGAGCTTGAGCTTTGAGGGCTTGGCCCACCCCATGGCTTCCAGCCTGGGTCACTGGGAGAAGGTCCAGTGGTCAGGGCAGAAGGCACCATGGCAGCCAACCAGGGTCAGGTCAGCAGGTTCATGGTAAGGAGAGGCTGAGCAGGACATGTTCACACACAAGTGCACACTGACATGCCAGCACACTTCCCACACTTAGGACAGGATTCCAGGCTTACTTTGGGACGCCCTGAGGAGGGAAAAGTCATGAGGGCCAGTTTTCTATTGGGCATCTACTGATGCTGAGAAAGCGGGCTAGGAGAGCATTTCACTGCAGGGATCAAGCGAGGGTGTGGAGGTGGGGCAGGTGATGCTAGTGCAACGTGTCTAGGCAGTGAGGTCTTGAGGGCTAGGAGCAGACTGAGTCTGTTTGTGGTGTGGGCTGGCTCTGTGATCCTGGGCCCTTCTCCCCTCCCTGACCCTCAGTTTCCTACCCGGGAAATAGGGCCATGGAGCATATCCACAGAACAGACGTGGACCCTGGCCTTGGGGAGGGACCGCAGGCTTCTAATGTTGACCTGTGGTCTCTCATTAGGATATAGGGTCTTGGGAGGGTAAGTCTGGGTCAGTGCAGGGTCAGACTTTTGGGGGATGAGTGGGAGGTGCAGGGCTGTTGCATTTCCTGGAAACCAGGCTCATACTGTCTGGGTGTGTGGATGGCTTCCCAGAAACACCCCCAGCTCTCTGCCCTGACCTGGCTGACCCCTACCTTCAGCCCTCGGTTACCAGTCCAGGAGAGCTATAGAAGAAGAGAATGGAGAGGCCTGGGGAGGTGCTGGGTTTCTGTGGATGTTAGAGGAGGTAACTTTTGCAACAAGCCTGTTGGTTGGGCAGGGTGTGGGCATGTGGTGACGAGATCTCTGGGGCCAAGGTGACCTGAAGATGGCCTTGGCAGTGGCTAGGAAAGAAACAGAAGTGCTGGCTTTGGAGAAGTAGCGAGGAGGTCACAGGGGGCATCCTGCTCATCAGAGCCACCCAAGGCTGTTCTCAGAGCTGCTGGGAGTAGGGTGGAGGAAGGGTGAGGTGGACCCTGCAGAGGAAGGATGAGGAAGGAGGAAGCAGTTGACCCTGCCTGGGGTAGGGCATTCCCAGGGTAGGTAGGTAAAGCTGGTTTGGGGAAGGTCCGGGTGGGCTTCCAGTACGTGGATCTTCTGAATCTTCATTTCCTATGAAGTGGGCAAGACTTCCCTGTCAGATTCCTCTGAAGGGTCCTTAAATCAGTGTCATCTTAAGGCTCTGAAGAGCTGGGGCATGACCTGGAGAACTGACCAGGGCAGGGCTGTGGCAGAGAAGGGATAGGAGAGGGCGCTACACCATTGGCGCTTGAGGTCAGTTTTGTTTTCCATGCCCCTAGTAGCTGGCTCCTGGCTGGGTACACACTGGGCAGAGAGAACTTGAGGATGCAGGGACCCTGCCAGGGATGTAACGGAGGACATCGCTAGAGCTCAGTGTTTGTGGCAGGTTCAAGCAGTGTTGCTGGTGGCTGGGGCAGAAAGTGTACAAAGCTTGGAGAGATGGAGCTAGTGGAAGACACAAGAGGGCTCAGGTGGGGGCCAAACAAGAGAGTGAGCCAGCGGGGTTCTGAATTTCTAGATCTCCCCTCTATCCCTTGTCCCCACAGCATCTTCAAAGAGAAGAGGAAGATAAAGGATATAATAAAAGACAAGACTAACTTTTTTTTTTGAGTAGGAGTCTTACCCTCTTGCCCAGGCTGGAGTGCAGTGTCATGCTCACAGTCACTGCAGCCTCCACTTGCTGGGCTCAGGCGATCCTTCCACCTCAGCCTTCCAAGTAGTGGGAAGCACAGGTGTGCGCCACCACGCCTGGATAGTTTTCTGACTTGTAGAGGTAAGGTCTCGCCAAGGTCAGCCTGGCGAGACCTCAAGTCTCAAACCCCTGGACTCAGGCAATCCTCCCACTTCCGCCTCCCAAAGTGCTGGGATTACAGGCATGAGCCACTGCGCCAGGTTGAGGACTAACATGTTATAAAATGGTTTTATCAGAGTCTGACTCATTTAATCTACACTGTAATCTTGTATGTTTGTTGATGGTGTACACTGCATTTTCCTGATGATGAGACAAAGGCTCATTCAAAAAAATGTGTAAACTCATGATAAAAGTGTTAATTGGTAAAAATGAAAGTCTAGAAAGGGAATGAAGACACTTCCTGCCTGTAATTCCAGCTACTTGGAAGGCTGAGACAGAAGGGTCACCTGAGCCCAGCAAGTCGAGGCTGCGGTGGCCACGAGCGTGCCAATGCACTCCAGCCTGGGTGACAGTGTGAGACTCCAATTCAAAAAAAAAAAAGATACTTCCTGGGCTTGGTGTGTTCCCAAAGTACTTGGTTACAAAGTTCTGCGGCATTTGCTCCAGTTGGGCTAGGGCTTAGCTGAAGCTAACCAGTAGCTAAGGCGAAAAGAGAAACACGATTCATTTTGACATTTGTCCTGTGTCCCTTTCCATAAAATAAAGGAGATTTTCCCGCGTGGTTGAGCATGTCGTTCCTGTGTACGGCAGAGAGTTCCGGGGCTCGGAGCAGACGAGGGGGCCAGCGCAGGGCCTCGACGGCGCAGAGGAGTTGACCGCCAGGTTAGCAGGCTTGGCGACCCCTGCTAGTCCTGACCAACAGGGCCGTGCGGGTAACGCAGGTCTCGTCCTACTGCATGCAAACCCCTTCTTCCTGAGGGCCCTGAAGTCACGTGCAGCAGAGAACAGAACCCTGGGTGCCGTGGAGGTAGCAGAACCCATGGGTAGCAAAATCCCTGCAATTTCCGGGATTTAGGCGACACATTCGTAAACCACGGCGGTGGTGCTGGGAGTGCCAGCCTTGCGCACCCGGGGCGGGGCCTGCACCATCCGGGCCTCGATCCGGGGCGAGGCCTGCGCAATCTGGGAGTTGGGCATGCGCGTTCTCGATCCGGGCATGAAGAACGGAGCCCATTTAGTAAGAAACGGGCGGTAGCGAGTTGGGCATGCGTGGTCGGAAGCCAGGTCCCTTTCAGTTGGGGCGGGGCCTACTCATTCTGGGCGGGGTCTGCGGGAAGATGGACGTGGGTTGTAGCGGCTTGAGGAGGGGCGGGGCCCGAGGGGCGGGACCTCGGGTGGCCCGAGGTGGCCCGGCTGCTGGGTTGGAAGCAGCGCAGACCGACTCATCCCGGCCTGGGGATGGCGTCCCCACGGGAATTGACCCAGAACCCCCTGAAGAAAATCTGGATGCCATACAGCAACGGGCGGCCTGCTCTGCACGCTTGCCCGCGCGGGGGTGAGGCGGGATCTGCGGGGAGGAAGGTGCACCGGCATAGGTGGATAGGGCGGCCTGGGCTGAGGTCTCGCATGGAGAGGGGACCGGGAACAGGTGGGGAACCAGGGACAGGTGAGTCTGACGTGATTGGTGAGGAAGCGAAGGCAGATGGAGAGCTGGGAACGGGTGAAGCGGCTGTGACAGTGGTAGTCCGGAGACAGGTGTGGCAGAGCAGGGGGTAGGAACAGGTGTTTGGGGGCTTCTGAGCTTGGCAGTGGCTAGGCCTGGCCATTGTCACCTTCGGGGAGGGCACCGGCCCCCTCACTCCCCACTTCATCTCCACTGCCTCGAATCATGGGGAGACCGTCAGACCCTTTCTCTCTCTCCTGGCCAGAGAGTGTGGACCAAGTGCTTGAACTTGAACTGCTCTGTGTGGCCATAGGCAAATTGCTTGGCCTCTCTGAGTCCAGAACTTTCAAAAGCATAGAGACAGGCTAGTTCTCCCGCATGAGAAAGGTACTCCTTGACCTCAAAAGCTGAGTTTGGGACAACCCCCTCGGGTCCCCTCCTGCTGTGGGAGCTTTTCTGTCCTCTCAATAAATCCTGCTTTCAAAAAAGAAAAAAAAAGCGGAGTTTGGGTAGGAGCTTCAGTGCAGATGTGCTCAGGATAGAGACAGTGAGAACACTGTGCCATGTGGGCCTGTGTTGGCGTCTATAAACATGTAAGCATTCACATGGGGTCATGAGTGAATGATAAAACATCTGGGAGATAAGCTGAAATTCCTGGAATTGTCAACGGACTCACCCTTCCATGGGTTCCTGGTGGGGTGTTTAAACTGCTTTCTTGAGTTTTTGCCTGTTCTGAAATGAACCCCCAACTTTTTTTATTAGGAAAGAGATTCGTTTTGGGAGTAACTGAAACATTGTAATGAATTTGCACCTTAACTAGGTCTTCAGAGAACGTCTAGTTCTATTCATGGTGAAATGGAGATAGTAGATTGCATGATATGGCCGAGTCTCCCTGTGTCCTGACCTCTGCTTATGTATGATAAGGGAGGGGAGGGTGCTCTGTGATTCAAGGCCTGGGGCCTTGGCTTTGATCTTGATATGAGTCCCCTGGGAAGAGTGTATGTGTATCTCTGACCACATTGTGCGTCCTGGCTCGGGGTGGCCATGTTTCCGACCAGATGGAGTTGTGGTGGGTCAGGACTCTGACTATCCTGGTGGGGCCTTGGCTGTCCACGATGCACACTGAGCTCTGAGAGGCTATAGCCACAGCCTGGCCAGCCTTCCTTTGACATTCTTCTGGAGGTGTGGAGGCCAAGTCCCTCCCTCTGATGCTTTAACCAGTCTGTGTTAGGACTGTGTGGTCCTAACTGAGGGGGGGGTGGCTGCTGTTATTACACACACAGGCCTTCTCATCTGACAGTCCCTGTCTCTGCTCCTTGAAGCACCCTTAAGCCTCTAATGAGTAGGTCCTCCATAAGTGGTAGCAGGTCATCCCCATCATCCTTTCCTCCTCACTACCTCAGAGTCAGTGATTGAAGCATCAGCTCCAAACGAGTCCCCTATGTGGGAGGGAGCTGAGGCCCAATGGAGAGGGGACTTGCCCAAGTATCACAGACCCTGAGGCAGGGCTTGTACTTCTTCAAGCTCTAAGTGTGGGATTAAAATGTGGCTCTGGGCCAGGCACAGTGTCTCATGCCTGTAATCCTCGCACTTTGGGAGGCCAAGGTGAGACGGTAACTTGAGCCCAGGAATGCAAGACTAGCCTGGGCAACATAGCAAGACCCCCATCTCTACAAAAACACACACACACACAACTAGGCATGGTAGTATAGGTAGTCCTAGCTACTTGAGAGGCTGAGGTGGGAGGATCGCTTGAACCCAGGAGTTGCAGTGAGTTATGATCACACTACTGCACTCCAGCCTAAGTGATAAAGCAAGCACCTGTCTCTGGAAAAAAAAAAAATGTGGCTCTGGTCTGAGTGGAGGGGCTCATGCTGTCACAGTGTCTCAGGGTGTTGTGGTAGGCTGGGTTGGATATACACCTTCCTAGAAGAGGTGGTAGTACCCAAGAGGCCAAGATGACACCTGCAAGTTGTGTGGGAGTTTGTACCAGAGTTCCCAGCAGGGAGTGGGTAAGCAGGGAATGTGTGCACTTGGAACCGCCTTGCAGTGCTTCCAGCCCCCAGTGCCTGCATTCATGCAGCATTTTACCCTTTGCACAGTAGACCTGTGACTAGCAGGGATGACTGCAAGAACAGTAAGGATCCTGAGGGGGTGTGGGTGGAAGATGATTTGACTATAGGGCTTTATGGGGAGGCAAAAGCAATGCCCACTGCTTGGCTGTATACTGGGTTTCCTCTGAGGTCTAATCCCCAGCTCTTCAGGGCAATAGGGGCTGCTTGACTAAGGGATGTCCTGAGCCTCCTCCACCCCCACTCGCCAGGAACAATTCTTCACCCGATTGACAGCATATAGAGCCACATCCAAGGGCAGGGAAACTCTTACCTTCCCCATCACTGGCCTGTTGGCCTAGACCTGGAGGAGCTCTGGGGGCTGATGGGACAGGGTTTAAAGAGGAGTCTCAGGGAGCACGCAGAATGGATGGTGTTTGTGTGATGGTTTTTCTCAGCCAAAAGGCAGCAAGGTGGCAAGACCCCTCCTGAGTGAGGACATGACTGGTGTATGCACAGGGCAACAGGAGAGATTCTGCCCCCTCTGAGCAGGGCCGCCATGCCATGTGCCTTTATTTTTATTTTTATTTATTGTAGAGATGAGGTCTCACCAAGTTGACCAGATTGGTCTCGAACCTGTGGGCTCAGACAATCCTCTCACCTCCGCCTCTCAAAATGCTGGGATTATAGGAGTGAGCCACCGCCCCCGCCTAACATGGCTTTATTTTAAAGAGCTCTTCCTCCCCAGCCTCGCCTGCATTGTTTACACTATTCCTGGCCAGTTGAAGAGGGCTCTCAAGCAACCCAAGGTCCCTGCTCCCATGATGAGGCCACCCCCTCCCACTGCTCCTTCAGGGGGACCTCCAGGACCTCAATCAGCTCTGGAGCCCACCATTCCAGGGACTTGTAGCTTCTCCTTCAGTGGAAGTGCCAGGAAGTGAGTGCTGTCCATTGCTAGGCATGTCTCAGGCCCCTTGGCTTCTAGAACTCCTGAGGCCTGTGGCAAATTTACAGGAAAGGAGCTCAGGAGGGAAGTCAGGCCGACATGTCTTCCAACACACATGATTTCCTTCCGCAATGTTGTAAACAGTGTGTTCTGCTGTCCTGTTTGCTCAACATCGGGGCTCACTTAGTCCACATGCTGTTTGTTTCAAGAGCTGTAGTGTGTTTTCTCTTCGTTGTGCCTCAGTTGGCAGTTTCTGTGGCTGGGATTTTCCCAGTGTTTTGCTGTAGTAAGCAGAGCTGTTGTGAATGCACTTGAACTTTGATTTTCCTTTGGGTTGTTTCCTTGGGACCTTATCTTGAGGAGCAGAGGTGATAGGTAATTTATTACCTTGTGTTGTGCCTGGGCCTGATGCCCTGTCTGCCCATCTTGTGCTGCGCATATGGGTGGGAAGGGGGAAGGGGCTGTCACCAAACGCTGTGGGAAGAGGCCAGGGCCATCACTGGGATGATAGTTGTGAAGAGAGGGTGCAGAACCCCAACCCTGAGGTACTGGAGGTGCCCCTGAAGAAGCAGTGGGAGGAGGTGGCCTCATCATTGGGAGCAGGGACCCAAGCCCTCATCAGCTGCCCAGGAATAGTGTAAACAACGCAGGCCATGACCGTCCACCGGTCCTGAAGAGGTAGAGTCTTGCCTAACTTGTTTCCTCTCACCTTAACCAATGCTGAGTTTTTCTGCAAGTTTCTTTGCTCTCACTCACTGTCAGCCTGTTTCAAGGGGTCCCCTCCTTCCCTCCCTGAGGCTTCCAATTTGGATCACATTTACACAAGGGCTGTGCACTGGAGTGGTGGAGCCCCCACTAGCAAGCAAGCCCATTTGCCTCTCTGCAGGGTCTGCCTGGGACCAGGCTGCTGCTTCTACACCCTGGGTCCCAAGGGCAGTCAGATCTGAACAATACCTGCATCCTCGGCTCAGTATGTGTTTGGTGACAGCATCCCCTTCCTCCTTCGCGCCCGTATTCACAGTATAAGGTGAGCAGACAGGCTAGCAAATCAGGGAAGCAGTGATAGACCTCCCTGAGAGATTGCTATCCCATTTTACAGGCCAGGACATTGAGGCTCAGAGTTGCCAGTAAGGGTCAGTCAAGATAGGAAGCTCACGCCTTTAATCTCAGTACTATGGGAGGCGGAGGTAAGAGGATTGCCTGAGCCCATGGGTTCGAGACCAGCCTAGAAAACAATGAGATCTCATCTCTACAATAAATCAAGAAAATTAGCTGGGCATGGTGGCGCACGCCTCTGTTCCCAGCTACTTGGAAGGCTGAGGCCGAAGGATCACCTGAGCCCAGCAGGTCGAGGCTGCAGTGGCCATGAGCATGCCACTGCACTCTAGCCTGGGTGAAAGAGTGAGACTCGACTTAAAAAAAACAACAACAACAAATCTAGAAAGCCAGGTCTGTCTGACTCTTGACCCCCCTGCAGAGGTGCTCCTGGAGCTTCTGTGCTCTGAGGCAGACATCTTGGGGTTGGAGACATTTGTCTAAGGAGGGCGATCTCACTTGCACAACTGAGTGGGCAGAGGAGAGGCAATGACAGGTCTCTATTTTTTTTTTTGAGTTGGAGTCTCACTCTGTCACCCAGACTGGAGTGCAGTGGCCGCTCCCGGCCACCACAGCCTCGACCTGCTGGGCTCCGGCGATCCTTCCGCCTCAGCCTTCCGAGTAGCCGGAATTACAGGCATGCGCTACCATGCCCGGCTGATTTTTTGATTTATTGTAGAGATGAGGTCTCGCCTGCCCAGGCGGGTCTCTACATCTGTCCATCTGCCTGACTGCTATGGTGTTACCTGGCCCCATCCTCGGGATGATGAAAGAGAAGCTTCCTGAGGCTCCTGAGACTGCATTTGACAGCAGTGAAAACTGAGCTGGGTCACATGATGCTGTCAGGTCTGCTGCTTTGGTGTCTGTCCTAGCCAGCCAGGGATATGGGGGGGTTGCTTTCAGAACCTTCGCTGCCTCCAGCCTTAGCAACTGGTTGGCACACTGACCTGGTGGCACATGAATGGTGGTGGGTGGGCTATTAGAGGGACTGTCCTTGTGGGCATCCGACTGGGTCTCTCATCTTGGCCCCTTGTTGTCCTTACTCTTGTAGTCTTCTAGATGGCTCCCTCCCTTTTCCTGCCATCAGTAATTCCTGAGCACGAACTCTGTGCCAGGCCACAGGCCCCTAAATGCCTCAGATACTGTAGGACTGCGTCCACTCCAAGTGATCAGTCTGGAGAGAAGAGTCTCTTGAATAAGGTGACCAGAACTGAGGCTGAGGGTGTACCAAGTAGGCATGGAGATGTCTTGGAGAAAGGACTCATCAAGAAAGTGGCTTTTGAGCTGGACTTTGCATGATGAAAATAAGCTCACCACAGAAGGTCATGCCCTGGGACTGAGTGGTTATTCGGGAAGGGAGGGAGATGTGAGAAGGTTAGCTATGGATTCCTGGACCACAGAGCCAGGGTGGTCTCTCTTGGATACCTCACTGGGTTTGGGCTTTGTCCTTCATGCAATGGGAACTCCCTAGTAGCATGGTCGGTTGAGCTTTATATCTGGTGGTGCACATCAGAATGAGAAGAGCTGGTGAGATCCCACTGCTTCTGCCAGAGCTAGAGGGGTCTGGGGAGGGACTTGAGACCAGGGTTTTGGAGAAAGTTGCTTGGGAGTTGTCTGATGCCAAGAGCCCAGGAAGGTACATCTAGTGCCAGTCCTGTACCCTGAGGCTGAGAGACCATGGGCAGAGGGCAGGATGGGTAGGAGGGGTCCTGGCCCTTGTCTGACACTGTGTGCTGCTTCTCTTTCAGTTTGCATGACCAACTGTCCCACGCTCATTGTCATGGTGGGCCTGCCTGCCAGGGGCAAGACCTACATTTCTAAGAAGCTGACTCGATACCTGAACTGGATTGGTGTGCCCACTCGGGGTGAGGCATGGCCTCAACTGTCCAAGGGGACATTGGGGCTTTGTGGGGGAAGGGAGAAGCCTAGACTGTGGGCAGGACCTGGGGGGTCAAGGTCAGGAGTTGGTGGGGTTGGCTGAACCTCACTTTCCTCCTAGAATTCAACGTTGGCCAGTATCGCCGAGATATGGTCAAGACCTACAAATCTTTTGAGTTTTTCCTCCCAGACAATGAAGAGGGCCTGAAAATCAGGAAGTAAGTATGTGTGTGGTGGGGAGGTATGGTGGGAGGTACTGTTGTGGAGAAAGCTAACGAGTTACTGCCCATTTACTGAGAAGCCCCTGGAGAAAGTTGCTGGTGAACAACTGAGCTGCCCCTGATCCCTGGCCCTACCCTACCCTATCCAGTATCTTGACTTCTCAGGATGTGATGGTGTTGAACTGTGATGGGTTTGGGAGTAAGAGGGTGTGTAGCCCTCTGGTGGTGGGCCTGTCTTTTCTGTTGGGGGGAAGGTGGAGCTTCAGGGAGGTGAGAGGCTCAGCCTGGGCAGGTCAGGACTGCTGCACAGAGGTCACCAGTCCTCCCAGGGGGATGGCAGCTGATGGGAAGAAGAGGCCAAGTGGGTGCAGGGATCCAGGCCGCAGGGGTTTTTCCTCACTTGCCCCACAATGAGCCCCTTCCTGTGTATCTGGAACATGTTTGCCATGTTCTTGGTTCTTGGTGTGTGGAAAACATGCCTTGATTTTGCTTTGAAGCATCCTAGATGCTGCTGTGTGAGAAATTAGCACTCCTGCTGTTATTCATGAGCTATAAATTTGCATATTCTAACTTCCTCACCTTTCAGACTTGAGCTGAGTACTTTCTCCAAGGAACCAGCACCCCTGAGCTGGTGGTCTGAGCTATGCTATGTTCTCTTGGCAGGTGTTAGCTGGGGACCAAGAAGCCCCTAATCAGCCCAGGGAGGCAGATACTTGCTTTTGGCCCAGTCGTCAGGGTACCACAGTGAACAGAGGTTGACCCATCTCTAGTGACTTTCCCAAATCAGGCCTAGCCCAAGGCCAGAGGCTAACTAGGCTGCCTTGGAGGTTGTGACACTGGGCTACTTATTCTTTGTTTGGCCATCAGGGGGGCAGGAACTCCCCACTGCAGGACTTGGACCTTCTGACTGGACTGCCTTTGTTCTTGTGTCACTGGGGATTGGCCAGGTCTGTGGCACTGAGGAGAGAGGGGAGTCTGACGTTCAGGTGTCTGTGGCCAAATTGTGGGTGAAACTCAAGACTATGCCCTCTGGGGATGTCGAGCCAGACCAAAAGGAGGGAACTAATATTTGAACCTACTGTGGGCTGGGTGCTTGTTGCCCATTGTTACCTTCCCCTTTTACAGATGAAGAAATTGAGACTCAGAGGCCAGTAATCTCACATAAGATAGGAAGTTACTTCAGAGCCCAGACTTGAATTTAAGCCCATCTACTGCCAAACACTGTCCATTATTCTAATAGTAGTAGTAGTAAGGAATATCAAATGCAGATTCTAAAACAACCTAAAGACCAGGTGCAGTAGCTCAAGCCTGTAATCCCAGCACTTTGGGAGGTGGAGGCGAGAAGGATTGCCTGAGTCCAGGAGTTCAAGACCAGCCTGGGCAATTTGGTGAGACCTCATCTCTACAATAAATCAAAAAATTAGCCAGGTGTCATGGCATGTGCCTGTGGTTCCAGGTACTTAGGAGACTAAGGTGGAAGGATCGCCTGAGCTCAGCGGACTGATGCTGCAGTGGCCGTGAGCATGCCACTGCACTCCAACCTGGGCTACAGGGTGAGCACTCCCAGCACTCCAACTAAAAAAAAAATTAAAAAATAAAAAAGCAACCCAAAGCTGTGGGACCTGGACTAGCTCATTTGATCTTTCCTATAAGCTTTTGCAGTGGATGGTGGTACCTCACTTTCCCAGATGCTGAGGTTAAGGTCTGAAAGTAATAGTGTTGTCTGAAATTACCCAGGGTTTGAAATTGAAGCCAGGCCCATCTGAGTCCATTGTGTTTGTGGGGAGAGTGGAAAGTGAGGGAGCTGGTGTTCCCAGAGTCTGCTAGCATTCCGTTCAAGCTGCTCCGCAAAGGTAGGGGTATTAGATTATTTCAGACAGGAAATCCTATACTTAGAGGTTAGAGAACTGGTTCAAGTCCACCCCACAATAGAAGTTGAGTCCTGGCTCATTGGTACCTTTCTGCAGATATACCTTCTGGCTGTCCTAGGAACACTTTCTCCTGTATCCAAAACCTGGTCTGACCACTGAGTCACAGGGCCATTTCCCATTAACTAGCTCACAATTTCCATAATTGGCTAAACAAATGGACCAGAGGGCAGGGCACAGTGGCTCATACCTGTAATCCCAGCACTTTGGGAGAATGAGGCAAGAGGATGACTTGAACCTAGGAGTTGAGACCAGCCTAGATGGTACAGTGAAACTTTGTCTCTCAAAAAAAAAAAATTAAAATAAATGATCTAGGTATGGTGACATGCCCCCATAGTCCCATCTATTCAGGAGGCTGAGGCAGAAGGATTGTCTGATCCAGGAGGTCGAGGTTGCAGTGAGTTTGATTGTGCCACTGCATTCCAGCCTAGGCAACAGAGTGAGACTTCAACTCAAAACACAAAAGAACCTGAGTTTTTAAAATGGAAAACCAAGGAAAAGAAGTTTGCATTTTCCAGAGGCACAGTCACTTACATATTATTGAGGTCCCTACAGCCACACAATGTTGAGGCCCATCTCTGACAATGGACACAGTGGAAGGTCTAGAAAAGTGCATGTACAGTCATTTTGCACATGCAAGAACTTATCTAAGCCAGGCTCGGTGGCTCAGCCTGTAATCCTGCGCCTTGGGAGGCTGAGGCGAGTGGATTGCCTGAGGCCGCGGGTTCGAGACCCTCCTGGGCAACTTGGTGAGACCTCATCTCTATAATAAATCAAAAAATTAGCTGGGTGTGGTAGCATGCACCTGTAGTTCCAGCTACTTGGA